AAGTCTGTTGGCTACTGTGCCAAGTGTTTCGAAGGCGTCTGTTCTAACCTACAGACTTCGTTACATGTACTTGCCGAAGAATTGATTCGCTTGACTGCTGAAGGACCTTTGGAAAGAGGAGAATCTAGAACATCGGTCTATAACGGGTAAGTGTTGTTAAGTTCAGCCAAATGCTTCTCATGAGCAGATATGGTTTTGAGTGATGGTATATGCGCAGTTGACCTTTTCATTGGTAAATATAGATAACTACATACGAATGCTTGATATGGCATCGCGTCACTCGTCGTTTTCACAGGTAATACTTTCAACATCTTGGTAATAATTTTGTTACCTTTAGGGACGAAAATTTAATTTGCGGCTAGTGAAAAGGGTGGCGGAATTCGTCCGACAACTTGTACCCTGATGATCATTGGATCTCTAGCTAAGGTTTCCTCTACCAAGAGTGTTCTGCAGTTGGTCGTCGAGAATGCTCTTGGCAGCCTTTGGGACTCGGTTGCGTCAGCGTCGACTTCTGTAAGTAATCTATTTCCTTTCTCATATTGCTTGTATTCCATTTTTACACCAAGAAAGGCGTTTTTATACATTCCAAGCGGATCGCGGTAACTTTGAAATGACAACATTAATGTTCAACTCTATTTTTTAGACCCATATACGCAAGTATCATTTTGTTTCATTTTCTCCGTTGTTTTTCGCTGCTTGCTCACCGCAGTTTATCCATGTCCGCTTATCGTTGCGCATAACTGCATGGGAAATTTTGCAGATAATATAACTTGAGCGCGGGAATGAGGCAGATAACTCACTTTTTAGCTGTCATCGTTGCCAATCCACTCATCACTGTGCAGTTATGCATGCAACTTGCAGAAGTGATAATTTTGTCAGGAAGAATAATAGCCCTTGAAAAATAACCTGAGTGGTGTGTGTTAAGGAGTAACATTCTAACCACAGTTCATTTGGAATTCCTCATAGGCTAGCTTGGTGCCATCGAAAGAGGAGGAAATTGATGAGGATATTAAAGGTATTAAGCTTCTTACTGTTCTCCAGGATTCGTGTCTAATGAGATAATTGAGTCGGTTTACTCCATTTTCGTCGTGTTTCAACGCGGGTAAGATTATTCATTTAATTAAACTGAGTTTTTCATGATTTTACTTATTATTTATCGCCCTTTGATTTTTTTCCAGCAGAAAGAGCAGTGTCGTGGTGAGTATTGACTTGGGCCTCGAGTACTGCGTCAACAATGCTTCCATCGCTCACGGTCGTGCGCACTTTGCAGTCCTTGGCGTAGTTGACCTTGTTCGCGGCTACGACTCTTACTACATGTCAGTTTCCCCTCGCTTCTTGTCTGCCTTATTTTCTCTTCCCTTCTCGAAAGTCGATGACAGCTTTGATGCCTAGACTATTATTATTTGTGCACTTAGTGTCAAACATAAATAATTGCTATTATGTAACGACGACTCTTCAATCGCAACAGTCATTCTCAAAGTTGAAATGTGAAGGACTCCTTATCTAGCAATGAACCGCATTGGCTCTGGGTTAGCCTTGCTTGGGACCGCATAGTCACGGGGTGTTTCGTCATCCTCGACACCGTCAAGCAACAATTGCACGACCTCTTTCTTGAGAAGACTGGCATTCCCTATAAGGTGGGCTGTTGATGACTAGCGGATGTGTTTAGTCCGTTTATCTTGTTAACTCACGTTTTGGGTCATCCGTGGAAATGTACTCACTTTCAGGTATTGAATGTTTCCACCGTGCAAGAATATGCTTAATCTGTTTAAATTGGGCTGATTAGGTGTCTGCATTGCACGTGGGCAATGCCTGAATGTGATCAGTTGCCATGATTCTGCACTAATTACACTTGGCTCGCCTCTGTCTAAAGCCAAGTCTGTTGGCTACTGTGCCAAGTGTTTCGAAGGCGTCTGTTCTAACCTACAGACTTCGTTACATGTACTTGCCGAAGAATTGATTCGCTTGACTGCTGAAGGACCTTTGGAAAGAGGAGAATCTAGAACATCGGTCTATAACGGGTAAGTGTTGTTAAGTTCAGCCAAATGCTTCTCATGAGCAGATATGGTTTTGAGTGATGGTATATGCGCAGTTGACCTTTTCATTGGTAAATATAGATAACTACATACGAATGCTTGATATGGCATCGCGTCACTCGTCGTTTTCACAGGTAATACTTTCAACATCTTGGTAATAATTTTGTTACCTTTAGGGACGAAAATTTAATTTGCGGCTAGTGAAAAGGGTGGCGGAATTCGTCCGACAACTTGTACCCTGATGATCATTGGATCTCTAGCTAAGGTTTCCTCTACCAAGAGTGTTCTGCAGTTGGTCGTCGAGAATGCTCTTGGCAGCCTTTGGGACTCGGTTGCGTCAGCGTCGACTTCTGTAAGTAATCTATTTCCTTTCTCATATTGCTTGTATTCCATTTTTACACCAAGAAAGGCGTTTTTATACATTCCAAGCGGATCGCGGTAACTTTGAAATGACAACATTAATGTTCAACTCTATTTTTTAGACCCATATACGCAAGTATCATTTTGTTTCATTTTCTCCGTTGTTTTTCGCTGCTTGCTCACCGCAGTTTATCCATGTCCGCTTATCGTTGCGCATAACTGCATGGGAAATTTTGCAGATAATATAACTTGAGCGCGGGAATGAGGCAGATAACTCACTTTTTAGCTGTCATCGTTGCCAATCCACTCATCACTGTGCAGTTATGCATGCAACTTGCAGAAGTGATAATTTTGTCAGGAAGAATAATAGCCCTTGAAAAATAACCTGAGTGGTGTGTGTTAAGGAGTAACATTCTAACCACAGTTCATTTGGAATTCCTCATAGGCTAGCTTGGTGCCATCGAAAGAGGAGGAAATTGATGAGGATATTAAAGGTATTAAGCTTCTTACTGTTCTCCAGGATTCGTGTCTAATGAGATAATTGAGTCGGTTTACTCCATTTTCGTCGTGTTTCAACGCGGGTAAGATTATTCATTTAATTAAACTGAGTTTTTCATGATTTTACTTATTATTTATCGCCCTTTGATTTTTTTCCAGCAGAAAGAGCAGTGTCGTGGTGAGTATTGACTTGGGCCTCGAGTACTGCGTCAACAATGCTTCCATCGCTCACGGTCGTGCGCACTTTGCAGTCCTTGGCGTAGTTGACCTTGTTCGCGGCTACGACTCTTACTACATGTCAGTTTCCCCTCGCTTCTTGTCTGCCTTATTTTCTCTTCCCTTCTCGAAAGTCGATGACAGCTTTGATGCCTAGACTATTATTATTTGTGCACTTAGTGTCAAACATAAATAATTGCTATTATGTAACGACGACTCTTCAATCGCAACAGTCATTCTCAAAGTTGAAATGTGAAGGACTCCTTATCTAGCAATGAACCGCATTGGCTCTGGGTTAGCCTTGCTTGGGACCGCATAGTCACGGGGTGTTTCGTCATCCTCGACACCGTCAAGCAACAATTGCACGACCTCTTTCTTGAGAAGACTGGCATTCCCTATAAGGTGGGCTGTTGATGACTAGCGGATGTGTTTAGTCCGTTTATCTTGTTAACTCACGTTTTGGGTCATCCGTGGAAATGTACTCACTTTCAGGTATTGAATGTTTCCACCGTGCAAGAATATGCTTAATCTGTTTAAATTGGGCTGATTAGGTTTTCAACATGTAGATTCTCATAGCATTAATTTGGCTCTCCGTAAAACGAGAATCCAGTAATGTTCCGCCCCCATTGCTTCACTTCACGCAGTACGTTAAGAGGATGTATTCCTTCGTGTCATGAGTTTCTTAGTTGTCCCCTGTATCATCGAGTCTTTTAAAGCCATATCGTCATCTTCATGTGGTTGAGCTCTTCTCGCCGAATTGGCAACGTAAATATTTCTGATTGAATGGTATCAGTAGTGCTGGAAATGCCGTTCGTTATACATTTTTAATCATGCTTTAATTTATGGAATCTAGTCAGCCATCACTTGAAGAGCTCCCGCTAACCAGTTGTGTGTATTGAGTGGCAGATTGGGATTCCTTCTGGAACTTGTATGCATGTGAGGTGAAAGGTAGTAATTACTCACAATAAAATTGCTCCCGATTTGTTGTTTGCTAATTTGTTTTAATCTGATAAACATATCACTCCTTGTCGTGAGATTAGTTTCCATTTGCTACATTGTATTGTGGCAAAGCTACATGACCACGCGTCCTGTGTGTGATACAGGCGAAGCTTCAAATCTCAGTTTCATTTTAAATGTCAAACACAGGGTAATTCCGCTGGTTTTAGCACTGACTCGATTATGATGGTCATCATTGCAAAAGTTTTGAAGGTAGATCCTTAATTACAAATTATGCTCAAATTCTCTTTTCGCAAAAGACATCCCTCGCCTAAGATCGGTTGACCCATCAGGTTTGTGTGTTTGTCTTAAACACACCTTAATGCTAATGTTGGGACCTTGAAAACCTTCAACATCTCCATAGACTGCACTCTGTCACTTTGCACCGTTTTGAAATTTTTGTGACTCGTCACAAGGTCTGATGTATGAGAACATTTTTGGCCGAATGGTTGCGAAGTCGAACAAGTAACCTTCGAGGCAGTTTATAAATCACTTGACACTCACAAAATGCACTTCTCTTTCGACTGACCTAGCATTGCTGCAGTTTGAGTTGTGCTCGTCAGGCGTCACGTATATGTGGCACGTGTTTTTTGTAAGAAAGTTCCTCTGGAACCTTTATGGCTCCCTTCGGCACATCCGTTTTAACCATTTAACTTGCCAAACAGAACGAAGAAAGTATTGTCTAAAAAAGGCGGCATATTGCTCTTCGATGGAGACTTTGCTAAGCAACGAGTTCTGCGCAGCGGAGCGTTTCGCTGATATCCATTGTCCTTAGTGTCATTTGGGGGCGTTGCGAAGGCTTGTGGTAATGCTGAACGGCTCGTCAAAGCCGGCGTCAGATTGCAGCTTCATTCGTTACTTTTACAAGAACCTTTGTCGTAACGCTCGGCACCCATGTCGGTCGATTGCTCTGCCTCCACGGCAACAACAAAGTCGCCTCTTGTCGTCCGTATTCAGCGTGCTGTGTGGGCAACACTAAAGAGAATCGTTTCCAGTGCAAATGAATATAAGGCCAGTCTTACCGCCGGGGGTGTGATGTCCAAATACACCGAATCTGTCGCCTTCTCCACTGATCTTGATCCCTCGCATATGGGAGCACATTCACTGCTCCAGCCCGTCGTCATAATATCAAATGTAGTAAAGAAAATAAGACAATGTATGTGTGTTCCTTTTCCTTTATATAATATTTAAATAAACTATAGTCTTGCCAGATCCCTCCGATATATTCTGCGCTCTGTAATTGTACGCCTCGGCAATACTCTGTAGGCGGCTCACTATGTGGTCTACCAGTACTAGATCGAGTGCAATGTTGACGGCGCCATTGCAGTGAGTGGATCGTCAGCTGCGGCCGATGCACCGGTGGGGTTCCCTTTTACAGTGTTTAGGATTTGGATGTGCGAATATTGTTTGTTTGAGGCAGAAGGGGATTAAAGCCTATTATAATGCTCTTTGCTTTTTTATTCCGACCATTGACCCGTATGCTTTTCTGAGAGCCATTGGAGGGGATATCCCTCATAAAACGCACCTTCTTGCATCTACTGTTACCAAGACTGAGGCGGATGGACGAGGAAGATGGGCTTTCATAACAGTAGCACCTCCAGTGCGGAGGATTCGTGCGCTCATGGGCATGATGTGAGACGAAGGGAAGATTGTCTAATCGCAGTGTCTTTTAACATCCCCTTATTTTTTTTTTCCAATTACTCCACCTCTCTTTCCATTATTTATGTAACATCAAACTTTATGCCCCTCTTTGTTGATCGTTTCTTGGTTCATTGAAAATTTCACATGCCTCAAAGTGCACTGGCGTGAATAAATTGCTCACTCAACCACGTTTTTAACGCAAACTGTGATCAGTCACAGGACAGACGTAGGATGTGGACCTCCGAGGGTCGAGTAGAAATCACGACAAAGGGTGAATGTTTGGAGCCTGAGCGTGTACATGACCTGCAGCTTCTACAGTCACGCCACCGTGCCTGATTAATTGCACACGGGTCGGTTCTTGATTGGCCCTTTGCATAACGTCACGACACCTCTAGAGGTTTTCTTCAGAGCCCGACCTGGACACAGACGCAGCAAGCGTTTTGATCTGAGTGTTATCAGGTGTCATT